CAGCCCCTCTCCTCCGATGAGGCCGGCTTCCCCCAGAGCTCCTGGAAGCCAGTGGACCTACACGGCAATGAGATCATTGCCCATGCGGTGCATGGCCAGGTGGTGCATGCGCCCGTTAAAATTGTGACGGCGCCTGATGGAAAGAAGTTTGGCTGTCTTTGTGGCAAGCGCTTTGCCGTCAAGCCTAAGCGTGACCGGCACATCATGCTGACCTTCAGTTTGCGCCCCTTCGGCTGCTCCGTCTGCAACAAGAAGTTCAAGCTGAAACACCACCTGACGGAGCACATGAAGACCCACGATGGGAACCTGTATTCATGCGAGGACTGTGGGCGCAAGTTCCGTGTGCAGAACTGCTTCCTCAAGCACAAGGAGCTGTGCAAGGGCCAGGGCTGGGCCACTGCTTGCTGGACCTACAAATAAAACCTAGGGTGGGACTGAGTGGAGGACTCCTGCCAGCCTTCTCTAGGCCTGATCCAGCCCCTGAGCTCTGTTGCTCTGTATCCTTGTGGATCTGCCCTCCTGAGCTTGGTAACCTGCTCCAGGGGCCCGGGGACACCAAAACATGAAGGGACACAAATGGGAGTTGGGCAGACCAGGGGATTTGGCCCCAGCATGTTGGCTTCCCATGCTGCTCCATGGCTTAGGGTTTCTGACATACAGAACTTGCCATGGGTCAAAGGAGGGGAGATAGAGAAAGTGAGAGAGCCCCAGGCTAATGTGGGAGCTCAGGGCAGGAGGATGGAGCAAGAGGCTGATGGGAACCTCAAGGCTGGGGATTAACAGCCACATTACATCCCTATTCCCAATCTGGCCCTGCCCTCCTCTGAAAGGATACCGCTCTGTTGTGGGTGGACTCAACTGCTGGATCCCACATACTCTTCACTGAGCTGAGTCTGGGCAGAGCTGTGTCACTGTTCCTGCCTACTCCCAGGTGTGGATTCCATGGCTGCCACCTTTCCTTGGGATGTGGGAATCTGCAGCCCAACCACCCTAGCCACCAAAACCAGCACCTCCGCCTTCCCCAGCCCTCAGTTGCTTGTACACATTCCCTCAGAATCTGCCTTGCTGTGAGCGTTCAGGGCAGATAACTAACCCCTTAGGGACAATAAGGTAGGTAAGCAAAAAACACAGGCTCAGCAAAGTGATTTCTTAACCACAGACACTTTACTCTTAAAGCAGTGGAGTATTACAGATCTGTGAAAACCACAGTCCTGAGCTGCCCTCCAGTCTGATCTCACTCCTTCCGCGAGACTGAGTTCTGGTCAGTGTTCCAGACATGGCCGAGTCCCTACTGCCTTCTTCCCATCAAGCCTGGTCTTGTGGAGTGTGGCAGGGGGCAGCCTGCCCTTCTCCGGGAGCACTCCCCTTAAACCGAGTCTCTGACCCTTTTGGACCATGTGCCCAGTCTAGGATATTCCAACCCCATGCCCTGTGAGACCCAGTGAAGAAAACCATTGGCTCCTGATCTGGGCCAGTCTTTGAATCATCCAAAATTGATGGACCTTGATGGTCCCGTCATTGATAGTCCTTTCCCTGGCAGGGCTGCGTCTGGAATAGACTGGCTTTGTTGAAGTCAGGCAGGCTTTTCTACACAGTGCACAAAATGAGAGAGAGGCACATAAACAGAAATCAAAGCCAAATGCAGTTCACCATTTGATACAGACATAACTCTCTTCTCTTGCAGCCACTGGCTGGGTCAGTAACCTGGAGGCTACCAATCCCAGCACTGTGGCAGGCATGGGCAGGATGGGGAAAGCTCAGTGTGGGAGCCATGGCCATATAACTCTAGTGGTTTTGCCCAGATTTCCTGGTCCTGCAGGGAGGCTCCCACTGTCACGCCACCCTCATTCAAACCAAGCCTAGCGTGAGCTCCCCCTCCTGCCAGAGCAGCTCAGCCACTCCATTCCCAACCCCTTCATTGTGCTGTGAGGCACATCCCAGGCCTGGGGACTCAGATTCCCCTGTGAGCCCAGCACAGGACTAGGGTGGGTTGGGGACAGGGGTAGAGGCTGGTGTGAATGTGCTGTACACTAGAGAGTGTGGGTCTTTGTGCACCCTTCTAATGGCTGGTGCACAAAGCAGGTGGCAGAGTGACATGTTCAGAGCAAGCGGTAGAGGTCAGTTTTGTGGAGCTGAAGTCCCTGGGTCACTTTCACCGTGACCCATGTGGGGGTGGGGTTGTCAGCCCCTCTGCAATCCCCTTACCCTGCTTGATTTCTCCCCCTATCTTCTGGCTTCAGCAGCCTCACCCATTCTTGTCCCTGGCTTCCTGCTATGGGTGTGTTTCTTTACTGGACTTGTTTTATTTGCCCTCGTCTTCCCACCAGTTCCCTGCTGTGGTTCATGCCCTTTCCCACTGGCCTGGGTGGGAATCTGTTTCTTTGAATAACACCTTGAGCCTTCTCACTCAGCCAAAGAGGGAAAGCCATTCCCTTGTTTTTAAGTGTATGCAACTCCCTGGGTCCCCCTGCATGGGCTGTGCACACACAACTCTTCACCGCAGCCTCTGCTATTGGTGGTTAAGAACATAAGAACAGCCATGCTTGGTCAGACCAATGGTCCATCTAACCCCATATCCTGTCTTCTGACAGTGGCCGGTGCCAGATGCTTCAGAGGGAATGAATATGACAGGGCAATTTATCAAGGGACCATCCTCTGTCATCCAATCCCAGCTTCTGGCAGTCAGAGGTTTAGGGACACCCAGAGCATGGGGTTGCATCCCTGATTATCTTGGCTAATAGCCATTGATGGACCTGTCCTCCAGGAACTTATCTAGTTCTTTTTTCAACCCAGTTATACTTTTGGCCTTCACAACATACCCTGGCAATGAGTTCCACAGGTTGTCTGTGTGTTGTGTGAAGAAATACTTCCTTTTGTTTGTTTTTTTTAAACCTGTTGCCTATTTAATTTCATTGGGTGACCCCTAGTTCTTGTGTTACAGGAATGAGTAAATAACATTTCCTTATTCACTTTCTCCATACCATTCATGATTTTATAGACCTATATCATATCCCACCTTAGTCGTCTCTTTTCTAAGCTGAACAATCCCAACCTTTTAACTCTCTCTTCGTACGGAAGCTGATCCATACCCCTGATCTTTTTTTTTTTTTTTTTTAGTGCTTTTCTATACTTTTTTCAATTCTAATATATCTTTTGAGAAAGGGGACCAGAATTGCACACAGCATTCAAGGTATGGCTGTACTGTGGATTTATTTAGTGGCATTATGACATTTTCTGTCTTATTATCTGTCCCTTTACTAATGGTTCCTAACATTCTGTAGCCTCTGTGTTGGGTTCAAGAAATTTAATTTCTTCCCTGTTGACTAGCTCAGAAACACTCCGCGTGGATGCGAATCAGATTAGCTTGTTCCAGAGCAGGGTGCCAAGCTTTTCTGACCCAAGTAGCTTCAGTTTTCTGCATGTTTTCTTTTGTCCCTGCCAGGGGGGGAGGCTGAGCTAAATCTGGCCATTTCAGCAAAGTGATGGCTGGGGAGGGGATAGGGTTGTAACTACTAATGTCTGAAGGTTGCCAGTGCCAAGGACTAGGGCGAAGGGAACCATGTAGGGCAGTGGTTCTCAAACTTTTGTACTAACCCTAAATTTAAAAACACTTTTTAATATATTTAACACCATTATAAATGCTGGAGGCAAAGTGGGGTTTGGGGTGGAGGTTGACAGCTCGCGACCCCCCCCCCCCCATGTAATAACTTCGTGACCCCCTGAGGGGTCCTGACCCCCAGTTAGAACCCCTGACGTAGAGGGATCCAAATGGAGAGAGCTGAGAGTCACTGGCCCAGGAGCTCTGAAACAATCCCCTCGCACTGAGGGACTGGCGGGATCCCTTCCCTAAGGGGAGGATCAATCTTGCCTTGGGCTGTGGGATACAGAGGCCCAAGGATGGTTCAGAAACATTAGCATGGAGGGGAACACACAGGGACAGTTCTGGGGAGAGGGAGGGTTGAGGAGAGGGGTGTGAACCAATTAGTGCAGGGTTCTTGTGTGTAGCAGTTGTACAAACCCAAATCTCTATATTGTATAAAATTTTGCTATGGAATCTAAGCAGATTTGCATTAGTTTCATTTTGACCTTCTTAGGGCTGCCACAGATGGGAAAAGGGCTAAACCCCATCCCTGATACCCACTTCATCCTTGGGCACCTGCCCTATACACCTCTGCCCTCTCCATGGGTGCCTCCCCCCATACAGCCCCTGCCCCCATTACCCCCCAATACACCCCTGCCCCCCTTACTCCCATACACCCCTGTCCCCCATACAGCCCCTGCCCCCTCTAACCCTCATACAGCCCCTGCCCCCTTACCCCCATACACCCCTGTCCCCCATACACCCCCTGTCCCCCATACACCCCCATACAGCCCCTGCCCCCCTGTCCCCCATACACCCCCTGCCCCCTCTAACCCCCATACAGCCCCTGCCCCCCTTACCCCCATACACCCCCTTCCCCCTCTTACCCCCCATACACCCCCCTGTAATAACGAGGCCTATGGCCGCGACCTCTGACCCCGTGTGGGTCCCCATCGATGGGATCCCGGGACTGAATCGTGGCCTCGCGCCCCCCCTTGGACACGGGACTTTCGGGCCAATCGCAGCGCCGCTTCGGATCCTTCCGCCAATCAGAAGAACATGGGGCGGGGCTCAGCACTCGACCAATCCTCGTGAAGGAAGGCTGGCTCCGCCAATCAGAGCAGGCTGGCTCCGGAAACTGTTGCCATGGAAACACTTTGACTCAACCCCGGGACCCGGTGGAAGCGACACAAAGGGGAGGGGGACCCTCGTAACCACGGAAACCAGCCCCCCCCGCTCTGCCCGTCGCCCCGCGGCCCCGGTAACTGCCCCCGTGACCCCGGTAACTGCCCCCCTCGCCCCTGCCCGTCGCCCCGCGACGCCGGTAACCGCCCCCGTGACCCCGGTAACTGCCCCCCCCGCCCCTGCCCGTCGCCCCGCGACCCCGGTAACCGCCCCGTGGGGGGGGGAGGGAGCCGCCATGGCGCGGCGGCGGCTGGAGCGGGCACTGCTGGAGTCGCGCGGCAGGGAGCGGGAGGAGGCGGCCCGGGGCCCCGCACAGCTCCGCATCCGGCACCAGCTGCCACTCAGCAGCGACCCACACGGGATCTACAGCCTCCGCTTCGCCCCGGCCGGGCGGTGCCTGGCAGCCGGGTTCGGCAACGGGGCCGTGCAGGTACCGGGGGGAGAAGGGGCCTATGGGGCGGTACCGGGGGGAGGGGAGGTTGGAGGGTAACAGGGGGGGGGGGGGACGGGGGGGTTGGGGGGGACCGGGGGGGGGGGGAGGGTGGAGGATTTGGGCCACGTGGGTACCGGGACAGGGTTGGAGGGGGTACCGGAGGTGGATGTAACACTGTTCCTGTCGCATCATCCATCCCATTCTCCGTTTTCCCCCTCACGCTCAGATTGTGAACGTGGCCACAGCCTCCCTGCACTCGTCCCTTTTCCGAGGACACCGTACGCGCCACGCGATCACTGCCTTGGCCTACCACCCGGGCAGACCCAGCCTGCTCCTGGCTGTGGGGGCTGATGGCATCATCTCTCTCTACAGCATGGACTCGGAGACACTGCTGGCAACAGTGACAGGTATTGGGAGACATTCCATAGGGTACCTTGTCACCATGTGCCTGGCGGATGGGCCTTTCCCTCTTCTCTCCAAGGGAAGGGTTGCAAGGGATCTCTTCTCCAAGGAAAGGGCCAGGAGCCCTGGCCCTATGGTGTGGGGGGTCGGTGAGCTGGGGGAATCCCTTCCTCACCTTTGTCCTTGTTGCTGGGGTAACAGCCCTTGCTGGTTGCTCTCCCCATGTCTGTCCCACCCCAGAGAAGGAGAATGAGATCAATGCCATGGATTTCTGCATGGACGGCAGCACCTATGCCACAGCTGGCAAGGACCGACATATTCGGCTCTATGACAGCCACACCAACCAGGTGAGTGGAGAGGGGCATGCCAGAAAAGGGTGCAGGCAGCACGTATGAGGGGAGGGCTCTATCTGGAGTGTGGGTGGGCAGCAAGGATGGGGTGTTCTGTCTTGGGGAAGAGCCATGCCTGGAGTTGGGGTGTGTGTGTGTTGCCCCTGCTCCCAGCTGTGTGTCCCAATCACCCCATGACCCAGATTCTGCTTCCCTTCCCCACAGCTGTTCCACATTTTGCAGGCTCCTGACTTCATGACTGGTGATGTGACACCAAGCAGTGGGCACTCGCGCCGCATCTTTGCCCTCCGTTTTCACCCTGGAGAGCGCCATATGTTCCTGACAGCTGGCTGGGATGACTGTGTGAAGGTCAGGCCCTGCATTATGGGTGGGTATGGATGGAGGGGTAGCAGGAGGAAAGGGAGGGGGCTGTGTCTGTGGCCTTTGGCTAATGGGGAGGGGTTCTGGATGCTACCATTGTTACCTGTCTCTTATCTGTGCCTAGATCTGGGACAAGCGGATAGCAAAGGAGGCTCAAAGAGTGATCAATGGGCCTCACATCTGTGGCCCAGGCCTCGACATCCAGGTGAGATGTGGGAGGTGACAGGGGGCATGAGTTACACTGTGTGGGCATGCAAAGTCCTGGCCAGGGCTGGTCTGTGCTGACCCTGAACCAATAGCTCTGGGACCAGGGTCACCTGCCCCCCAATACCCTAGCCCCACTGGAGAAGTAACCTTTACCCACGTAGCGTAACTATGCTCTGGTACCAGCTCCTGCCTGCCCCAGGGGAGAGATAAAGCACCATATCTGAGCCTGACTCCTTTCCCCCCAGGGTAACCGCGTGCTCACTGGCTCCTGGGTGCCCCACAATGCACTTCAGCTCTGGGATCTACGGACATCCCAACTGCAGAAGAACCTCCCCTTTCCTGGGGGCCCCACACAGGGCCAGTTCCTCTATGCAGCTCGGTTCTGTGACCAGGACATAGTGGTGGCTGGGGGCAGCGGCACCAGTGGAGCCAGCGCGATCCACACTGGCACTAACCAGGTGAGACTGTGTACCCCTGCTTGGGAGTAAAGGGGGAGTAGGCATTCCCCACTTGGGGGGATGACAGTGAGAGCTAATGGAACTGGGTTACACCTTGGGGACAGGGGGTCAATGTGAGCCAGGGAACAGGATGGGGGATGTTTGGGGCCCTTGGGTGGTATGAGCCAGGGGAGCAGGGCAGGGGAGGGAGTGGTTGGAGGGGTGGGGTGAGCAAGGACAGCAGGGAGGTTGGGGAGGTGAGCAAGAATGGAGGGGTGGGGCAGAGGAAGGCCAGGGATTGGGTGGTGTGAGCCATGGCAGCAGGGTGCTTAGTCCTGGGTGACATGCTCTTTGTCTCCAGGTGCTCGGCGAGATCCTGCTGCCCAACAAACCGGTGCAGGCTGTGGCAGTAGCACCCGGTGGGCGGGTGGTGGCTGTGGCTGGCGTGGGAGGGAATCTCCACATCGCAGACCTGCACTGAGCCCCAGCAGAGAGTGGGTGAGAAGGGGACAAACCTGGGAGTCACAATCCCCCCCATCTACAGCTCCTCTGATCTATGGCTCTCCCACATGATTCTGCCCCGCCAGGACTACGGCCCTCTGTGATGTCTGGGAACACAGGCCCCCCAGGCCCCCCTTCCCAACTCCCCTGCACCCCTCTGTGAGACCTGGAGCATCCAGACCCCTGGGCACCTGCTGGCATCTAATAAACTTCCTGCACCTGAAGAGGTGACTCGTGGGGTCTGTGAATACGAAGGCCTGGCCCATGTGCTGGGAGTCACGGGGGCCGGGGGGAAGCTAGCCACTTGCTGGGAATTTATGGGGGGACACTGTGATTTGTGAGGGCATGTGTTTCTAAACCACTTCCTGCCACTGCTTTGTGCGGGGGGGGGGAGGGGGGCTCATCTCCAGCAGTGTTAAATTTCCCTCAGTTTGGTGAGGACATCCCCAGCACCCCCCAGTCCTGGGCTCGGCCAGCCTGTGTCCATGCAACAGCCTCTGGAACCAGGAAACTCTGTGCAGGGAGCATCTACACTGCATCTGGGAACAGACGTGTGCTAATGTGCTAAATAGAACTGTGGGGACATTGCTGAAGGCTCATATTAGACAGCCAATGGCTACACCGCTGTTTTTAGCTCGCTGTCAGCTGCAATGTATCCTCGGAGGAGAGACAGCCTCCACCCTCATCC